ACCAGAAGGCTGGCAGTTCAAACCCACCAGTCACTCCTCGGAAGGAAGGTTGGGCAATCCTACTTCCATAGTGATACTGCCTCGGAAACCCAAGGAGGGGTTGCTATGAGTCAGGGCCGACTTGACGGCAAATAACAACTACAATGGTGAGGTAGTGAGAGTAGCACAGAATGGTGAGTTAGTAACCCGAGATTTTAGCAATAGCTGTTAAATTAATTTGTGACATTAGATAAGTCACTTAGACTTTGTTTCTCTTCTACAAAAATTAGAGATTGAATTATCTCTAAGGTTCCTTATAATTTAATGGATTGATGATTATTTGTAAACTATTTCTGATTGCATTCTGAACTCTAAATTCAGCAAAATTTGTATCTGTTACTCAAGAGGTATTGACATACACACACTGTTGGCATTAATAGTTCCTTACACTCTTGCATAGGAAAGAGAATCAGGGAGTTACCAAGGATCTCCACTCTGTGCATTCAAAGAACACAGAAAGGCACTACAATGCGCTCCATGCAAAAATGATACAATGCTGTAACAGAAAAGTGGAATTTTATCCATTTTAACATGGGCTGTGCTTCAAACTCTTGGATTGCAGAATCAGCTCACAAGGATTTTACATTTGGCCCTCTTCTTTATTTGGGTGCTGACCTGGAGAAGCCCAGCAACAGCTCTGGTCATTGTCATCCATTATCTGGGATATTTCCAGGCTAGGGAACTGACCTATGTGTGAAATCACTAGCTCCAAGATGTTGTGTCCATGAGGATAAGATTTCATGGGAATTTGCAGCCTGTGAGTTCTCTCCTGTGCAGATATTCTTTTTTTATTAAATTTTGGATATTGGTGTCATACATAGGTGCAAATTAGAGAATATCAGTGTTTACTAATGATTGTGTGCGAGAATTCCATCCATGATGATTAAAATTCTAAGTTTTAGAAATCCATGAAGAATTGTAGAGATCAGAGGAAGATTGGCAGCATTAAAATAATTTCACCACAATTCAAAGATTGGATGGAAGTGGATACAGTGAATTTGCAGAATGCAATGGAGTACTGAAAATATTATTTAGCAAAAATTGAATATTTAGCAAAAGGAAGTATGATCTCTAGGAAGCAGTACAAATGCCCTAGACATTAACTTTATTTCTACATTGATGTACAGGTGCTTTAGGGCCTGAATACCTGAGATATTGGAAGGAACATTTCATGTTATCCTTATGGACAAATTGGAGAAACGTGGGTTAGACTGCAGCAGTCAAGTGAATTTACATATACTGAACAACCACATCAAAGAGTGTGAACTTTCTGAGGATTCTGGGGGACCTGGAAAACATAATGCTAGAACTGGAGATATTTAACCTGGAAAAGGAAAAAAAAATCTTTTATTCCCCCTGGGAAAGAATAGAAATGTTTTCTCCTTTCAAATATTTGTAACAGCTCTATATAATTGAAAATAATTAGATAGTTCCTTTATCTTAGGTAAACCAATTTGGGATCAGTAAGGCAGAATTTTTTTTTAATACCAAGGAAACATTTCTGTCAATCAGTCTAATGGAATGGACTGCTTTTTGAAGTAGCAAATATTCTCTAAAGTGTTCAAGAAGAGACTTGTCACCTATCCTGGATATTGTGTAGTGGTACCTTGGATTGAGAGGTAAGTCAGACAAGACATTCCCCCCTTCCCCCACCCCCCGGTCCTTTCTAAGTTTTAGATAGTTTAGCTAAGGTTGAAGAAGTAAGTTAGTGGTCAGAAAGTACTTGAATGGACAGAAGAATGGACTTCTTCCCCTGTGTGATCATGGCTAAAGGAGCATGTTATGTTTTGTCATCTGAAAAAGGCTTAACCCAAGACTAAGGAAACCTTCTCAAGGCCATTAATAGCAAGAATTTCCTAAAAGGTTTATAACCTGACATAAGGATGTGATGGGAAAAATGGGATCATGATATTTTTCTTTATCAAAAGACAAGAATGTCCATTATGTGCTACCCAATTCACAGTCAGAACAGTGACTGCCATATAATAATTTTAACTCTAAATATTGTGTTTTCCCTCTATCCCAGGAGAAATTTTTCTGAAAATTGGATTCCTTTGCCATATAAGGAAATCTTTCTTTGTGGTCAAAGTTATCCTTCACTTTTCTTATGACAGTAGTTAGATTGTTGAAGGTCTTGATTCCTAATTTAGGATGTTCATAATGCTGGTAGATTTTGAACTTTGTGACTGTGTAACCCATATTAAGAAACTCAGTTTATACCATAACCCTGTGTCATGATGGCTACCATGCTTGTCCCTCTCCAAGGGAGAAAAAAAAAAAAAAATTCTTTTCTAGGCTAAATATCTTCAACTCTAGCATTATAGCTAAAACTAAATATTTGGGAAACAACACTTACATTTACAAATTTGTGCAATGCTTTGCTATTTTCAATTCGATCTAGTTCAATTCATTAAAAATTAAATACTACGTATGCCTCTAATTTCTCAGGACTTACAGGTTGTAAAACACTGCTTTAGGCAATAGTCAGTCACTGAAACTCAGATAGTGGCAGAATCAATGAGAGAATCCAGGTTTGGTAATTTAGGACATTTGCTAAGCTTACTACATACAGAAAGAGAATTTTTGCATATATATTACATGAAAAGTCCTGGAGCTTACTATACATTTGCATACTATTTTTTAATTCCTTTCTTCTTATCTTTTCAGACTCCTTTTCCCTCTTCCCACAGAAAACTACACACCCCTGGCAGCAGCCTCTTAAAACATGAAAGATGACGAGAGCCACATAGATAAACTTCATTTGTTCGGCATGTCTTAAAGCTTTACATCTAGAGAAGCAAGTTCTAGCCTAAAGCATGTCTGTTTATGAGCACATTCAGGTGACTGCTGAGATAATGGAATTGCTGATACATTGCTCCTAGCTGCTTGGGTAACCATTCTTTTATTATCAGGAAGGCAAATGCAGTTTTTAAGATCAAAGTGGACACCTCCTGGAAGCTACATTTATTACAAAAGGCTAAAATGTCCACATTCTCAGGACTCAAAGGAACTTAAAGGAGAAAGACAGTAGTATTCAATAGACAAATGCAATTTTGACAAGACAGCAGCCACCTAAGTAAGTGACAGGAACAAGGAGTAATTTAATTCTGAAAGTTACCAATTCTGCAAGCTCTGGGGTTAAGCAAGGGGCCTGATACTGTAATAGCCAAAGTCAGGGTCTTTCTGACAAGAATTCCTTCTGTCAGCACAGGGTCTAAGAACATTTTTATAATTTTCGTGATTTAGAATTCCTTTCGTAGCATTTTGATCCCATAACAACAGAAACCAGGACCTGTATTCTGCTATTACAGTGGAAGTAAAGTAAAAAGTCTTTATCAGCCAGTCACTATTACAGTATTTGGAAACCTATCACTGATGAATTCTAGCCCTTAAAACATAACAGTCTTGGATAGTAGCAACTGCTTTGTGGCTGTTCCTGTGTTAACTGCCGTCTAATAACTGTTCCACTCTCTTTAGAGACTTTTTATATCCTGGCTTTAAACACCCATCCTAAGCCCCTCAGCCAAAATATTCAAATAATATCTTTAGGGAATTCTGAGGAGAGTCTCCCAGCTGGGCCCACTTCAAATGCTTACTAGAATCTACTCTATTTTGATCCCTAAAAAAAACTTTTTCTTGTAGTTTTGAATATCCTAGAAGACTTGGCCAATGCATTTGGGAGAATAACAAAGGGCCTTCATTATTTCTTTTCAAAAACTTTCCAGTAATTTGAGAATCTGAAGAGACCAGCTCCAGAAGCTCTGGATGCTAAAAGAATGTGCTTCATAGCATAAAGGAAATGATTTCTTTTTTAAATCAGGCTAATATTTCCTGAAATACCCTACACATTTTCAGGAGATTATCTTTCTAGTGACAAGAATGGCAGAACATATTTTTCAAAGTTTTTTGGATGTTTATTATAATTTAAAGGGTTAGTGTCACAGAGATTTTTTTTAAAAAAGATTTTTCTGTAACTGAAAAATTCTTCCTGCAAACATTTATGGCATATGATAATATTGGCTTAATACATTTTAAAATGTGTCATATTGGATGTGCAAAGCCTGGATCACAGATTATTTTTGTGCTAAGAAAAAAATATAATAGGTTTAAAATTATAAAAGTTTAATGGGTTAAAATTATAAAAGTTCAAAAGGGTACAGTATGAGGAATGGATATGCTACATCTTGATCAGTCTCTGGGCTAAATTTTGTAGAAAGTTCTCCATTGACCATTAAAGATCTCAGTAATTTGTCAAACTAAGCCTTTTTTTTTTTCCTTCTATTTTTTCTTGCATGCACAATGTTTATGTCTACCCTTAAAAAAATTGATTTAACTTTGTAGAAATCAACAGATTATTGTTATAGTATCTATATAGTACTTACGTTGGGGACAGGGATATCAATGATTGTTTTACTCTGCTAGATATGTCACTTTGAATGAAATCCCCAAATTTAAGCTATGGGAGCACCTACTCAGAAGCATTGCCTTCCATGATAAATAGGCAATACCTAACAGGGTATAGAATATAGACTTACATACTGGTTCATATTTTACATCAATTCCCAGTAACAGAAACATAAAATAGCTTAAGTAATCCTTTAGGGAAAAGTAAAGAAAACAGAGAAATGAAGATAAGAATATAACAATCTAAGAGAACATCTAATAGGTGAATATGCATTTCTTCTCCATGTATTTTCTGTTAAGGATGCATTCTCTTGATTCTCACATCTGTACACTTTTTCTCATAGTTGGCAAAGTTTGAAAATGGACAATCCATCCATTCAGCATAGCTTCTAATTTTCTACAACCTGCAGCTCTAACTTTCCTCCAATATCTTGTATGCTGTTACCTCCTGCTTTATTTCATCTTATTAGAGATAGCTGTCCTCATAGGTCCCAGCTTGGCACTGGAATGAGTTATCTGCCCTCTTATCCTGGGCCCCACAATTGGCTGCTACTCACTCAAACGGGTCACTGGGATCTGCCCTCTGGAGCTCTGGAGGAATGGGGATTCTTTTGTAGTACATTTCCCAATCGAAGGCTCCTCGCATGGCATCCCCAGCTTGTGCCTCATACCCAAAGTGGTTGTGGTCAATGACATCGATCATAGGGCACACGATGGTTTTGTGGTTTAGTGCAATTTGGTCTGAAAAATGAAAGCACAAAATAGGAAATGACATACACGTTCAGGCCATCTATCATTTCTCTGCAGAGAAGACTACAGATTCCTTCTAATGCATAATGCTTGCAGCCTTGGTTCCCTGTCGCCTTTAGAGCACTTAGCAGAAATCTTTCTTTGAATGCTGGACTTAACGTGAGGGGACAGTGATTAGGTGCAATTAGAATTGTTGTATTTTTCTTTAAGAAAGCTATGTCCCAGAGAGACATGCAGAAGTCCATTTAGCTCTACCTTGGTCACATTTTTGTTCTGACCTGTCCCCAATCTGTCATTTTATCATGAATCCAACATGCTCAGAGTATAAACAGTACTAGTGTTCCTTCAAGCATACAGCTAGAGCCTGCTGAGAAAATAGTGGCCTGCTTTCTCGAGGTTCCAAATGTAAATATTTAACTCCAAAGTTTTTTAAGCATCTAATTTTAGAATAGTCAGAGTGTTATCTCTCACCCCTATCATCACTCCTTCTCGTGAAACACACCAAATACTGACAGATAATGCAAAGAATTCCTCATGCTCATATTTGCCAGAGCTTCTGCCAAATTGTATTTTGCCACTGTTCTTTGAGATGGACCCTGTTTATTAAAGCTATAAATTATCTTCTCTCATCATTCCAAAAGTACATTAGATAGCCTGCTACTACTCTTATTATACCTGCTACTACTGAATTCTTGAGTGCAAATTATGTGAAAATACTTGAGCAAATACTGTACTATGTAATTTATACACATGCTATTTTTAATCTTCCTAATAACCCTGTAAGGTGACTATTTTTTTTCATTTCTGATTCACACAAGAGGAAAATGGGCTCAGAGAAGTTAAATAACTTGTCAAAATTCCTAAACTTTTCAGAGTGAGAACCAGAGTATAATATCTGCTTAATGGTTCAATTTTAAAGCCATGGTCATTCCAGTGTGCCCTTGTACTTCTCATGATAGCAGAAAGGTGATTCCCACCCCCCTTTCAGTTTCAGTTCCTTCCTTTTCCATGTAGACAGTGTTATTGTGATGGCTGTATCAGCCTTTTCCATGTAGAAAACTGTAACAGCCAGCATGGGGAGCTGGAATTGGTATACACGGCTTAAGTAGAATCATTCCATGTGTATTTTTCTTTTTGCCCCAGATGTGTATTTAATCAATATTTATTATAGCAAACCAATACCTTCTGGCAGGCACAACTTTTAAGTATGAACATCTGCTTTTTGGTTAATTGAAAGACCCTTGGATGTGGTATGTAAAATAAAACACAGTTAAATATCTTAAACAGAAAGTAGATATCATTTACAGAAAGTAGATATCATTTAGAAATGCAGCAAGGCTTAGTTGTTTTAGTATCATTACTTTTCCGATAGATTCTGAAATAAATGTTATCTGAGCCAGCAATTTATCTGTGTCCTTACAATAAGGAAATGGCCTACTTGCTTCAAAGTTTCTCCTCAACGTAGGGCAGAAAGCACAGGCTTCTGTTGGCTGTAAAAACAAGCTGCTTTATTTTAATGACGCTAATAAATAGGGTGTAGAAACCACAGAAAGATGTGGAAAAATTTCCCCTCCAGATCTTCATGTCTTTTTATTCATTCATTCATTTATTCATTCATATTGTAATGACTATTTATTGAGTGCAAATAATGTGCTGATCACTTTTCTAGGCTCTAGGGATATAACCCACTGCCATCCAGTCAATTCCAACTCATAGAGACCTTTAGGATAAAGTAGAAGTGCCCCATAGGGCTTCCAAGGTTGTAAATCCTTATAGAAACAGGCTGCCTCATCTTTGTCCTGCAGAGCGGCTGGTGAGTTTGAACTGCTGACCTTTTGGTTAGCAGCTGAATGCTTTAATCACTGAACCACCAGAATGCCTTTCTGGGGATATTGTTGTTGTTGTTGTTTGC